GACTTCCGGATGCTAGCAGGTTGTGCCGCTAAGCCGTGGGTGACGGCCGTGGGTGACGGCCGTGGGCTTGCATGGCTGACACATGACTACGATATAGCGCGGATCATCCCCACTGCCATGCCAGTTACGAACTACGCAGAGGACGGAGATTAGTCCCAGGAGTGAGGACGGTCGGCATAGCGACTATGTGTGACATAGCACTTAGAATCTAGACGGACGGATGTTGCTTACTAATGAGCAGCGGGGATTTCGGTGCAATTTCAGAGGCAGTTCGTCGCAATCCCCTCTCGATCAGTAAGCCTAAAAACGTCTGGAAAAGCACCAGACAGTTGTTTTAAACTACTACGTCTCGTCAGTGGTGCACCTTTTTCGGACCCGTGCCGAGGTTCGACCCTTGACGTCCTGGTTGCCACCATGAACTAAGTCTTACACAGTCGCCATGCGGAAATTCTTACCTCCTAAAGCTAACTTCTATCCTTTGCACACCTCGCAACTGGAATGGCAGTGGAAGATGTTCCGCGCTATATCGTAGTCAAATGTCAGTCATGCAGGTCTACAATCGCCACCCATCTCTTAGCGGCATAACTTGCTGGCATCCGGAAGTCAAGCAGTCGACATCCGGCAGGGGTCCGGGGAAGGCACACCACGGACGAGACCCAGGAGTTCGAAACAGCTGCCTGCTGCTTTTCTAGACGTGTCGACGCCTGCTGACTTATAAGATACCGTAATAACTACCATTGTGGAAAATGATATAAACCCTCGAAGGGCTCTCTGTATGTTTGGCGGATGTCACATGCCACTTGGTCCACAGTAGCACTTCAAGCTGTCTCGGTAGCAAGTCAACTGGTAGGATGTCATTGAGCACAGTTTAGAAAGGCACTGTCCTTTTTTCTTCTTTTTGACTTCCCAGCTCGTTTTTGATATATTTGAGCAACCATATCCTGTGTATGTTTTTGTCATCCATCCAATTAGCTCAGACTCGCCTCTCCACTGACAGCTGCGAAGAGGCCGTCAAGCCTATCACCAGGTGTATAACAGGCGCACCTCCCATCCAGCTCCTACTGCTACCAGATGCTTGGGATAATGCTACCTAGCCGCATATGAAGTGTCAGTTTTACATTGCAGCTCCTTCTCTGTCTATTTTAACCCACGTACCCCACGGACACGTAAGCGGACGCATACTACAACCACTCAATCTGCTGCCTTTCGGGTAGTCTTCTGACGACTACTGCTATTGTCACTGTCAAGATGATATTAAGTCGGTAATTTAGTTACTTTGGCGTATTGAGACAGGCATTCATTTGCCAACCTTATCTATGCAGCATGCTGAAATTTTTGACCTTCATATTCGGCCCTTTAAATGAGTTATCGGGGTGAACCTTGCTTTTCAAAAGATGGCGTCCAAACTCGGACTTCAACATGGCGATGGAATCTAGGAACCTCGCATCCGGTTCCAATATTTCACAAATATTAATGGCCTCTATCGCCTTCCCCTTGCAGTAGTTTGTCAGACAAGCTAGTCGTACCTCCGGACTTGTTGCTGCATTAAAGCACGCTCGTTTGGAAGCTTAGGATGGACATCTGAAAACGCAAGGAATCACAACAAAAACGCAGTCTCTCTTTTTGGTATTCCAGATAGGTTACCCAATGTACCAGCATCAAAATCTGCCCCATTAAACCCGCCATATCGACGACTTGGTATCTTGTCAGAAGTTCCAGGTGAGGCTCGAACCTACGAAAAGCGATCAGGAGACATTACTAACAATCCGGTATGCCCGTCGCACTACCAGGCTGTTTGTATAACCTTTGTCAGCATGGAGCATTTTAGGACTGGTCACCCAGTGTAGCAGCATCAGTTAGCACCGCACGCTCTTCTTCCTAGATTAGTGCGTCCACGCAATGTTCCAATTCTCTAAATCTAAGTAAGGCGGCAGTCAACTGCTCAGCAGATGATACCGGTTTTAAATTGTCCTCATACTGTGACAGTTCAGTGTCAGAAAACCCATTAACTTCATCCATTGCTCAACGTGTCGAACTTATTCAACATGTGTTCTAGCGGTGGAGACAAATAGCATGTCAATCCACTTAACAAACTCACGGCCTTTGCAGCAAATTTGGATGGAGACGTAACACGGGTACGTCTACGATTATCGTTCAAGCGGTAATCGATATCAAACGCCGATACAGTTTGCTCAATCAGAGGGATAAGAACAATAAGGTTACTTATTAATACTCACTGGATTAGTTGGGGCCCGTGTGTTTGGAATTCACACTTAGCATTCACGGGAGATGTATCTCGGACATTTGAAACAGAGCCGATTACGTTATATTCGACTTGGTTCTTCTTGCGTAATGTCAGATTGCGTGTTTAAACTGGTTGGTCAGGATACCGACTGTCACCAGGTCCTGTGCCCGAAACTAGGTGGTAAAGTCGGTCTCCAACCCAAGATGAATAACAAGAGGTGCCTTGGAGCCCTAAATGCATCTCGATTATTGGGTGTATTTGCGTTCATCTCGGCAGTGATTTCAATCGCTTGCAAATACAGCGGGAAGAGTGAAAACATAAGATTGACGGAAATTGAAATTGCGGCTGTTGAAAGACCCTACATTGTGACTTAGCATTAACAAGCAGCTGAGTTTGCTTGTATTATCATTGCCATTGAGTCAACTACAGCATGAAATAAGGGTCGGTGCTCCTACTCCCTTGGTAAAAACTGAGCCTGCTAAGTTAAACCGCAAACATATAACTGTTGACTTGTTGTTATCCATGTAAATTCTTAAAGTTTCACTTCGCACAGAATATCCTTCTTTGTTTAGATAAGAAGTGGCTGTTTTCGCACGGCGTTTGGCAGTCACCATGAGCAACGATTATGAAAAAGATGTTGATATACCCCGCTTCTTCACTACTGTAGGCCATATACAGGGATGTACCGCAGAATCCCATTAGTTTAGTGCAGAGTAATTCAGCTCTCATCGCAACTAGAAGGCTCGTCTCATTAATATATTTTAAATAAAACAACAAATAAAACGGCATGTCCATGGTACCAGGGACAACAGCAATGCCATTCTCTCCACGGTCAAAATTTCTCAGTTCAATGACTCGAACCTTTAGTATCAGACTGTTGCGAGAATCGCCGGCTCACGCTAACAGACTGCTGGCGAGTACCGTACCCAAAGATTAAAGAGAATGCTCGAAGGTGACAGGACGAAAGTGTATTTGTGGTACACCGTTCCCGTGTATTAGCTAGAATACGACACCGGGCGCTGCGAGCTAGCTAGACAAGATGTGTGAGGGACCGTGCGATGGAGTGGCGTGTTGAATCCAACCGTGGCGCCGTGTTTGCATATCGCGTGTGCCTTGGAGCAGACAAACAAATGCAACATTGAGATTGCACGTCGCAATCCAATCACACAACGTGTAGTCCAAACTTGACCCCCAATTAGTCATTTACCGTTGTGACAAGCGTTGCTCGCCGTGACCCGGTAGTTAAATGGGTAGATGTTTCGGCTACTATTCCAATGGTCGCGGGACCGACATCTGCTGTCTCCACCTGATGAGATTAAATTACATCGAAAAGCGTCGTGCTTGTGCAGTGTTTTCGGGCGGGCAACACCCAATTTCCAAATGTAACATGCATATCAGAACTCTGCAAACAACTTCTAAGTGCACAATAAGAAGGTACTTTTATTCAGTACTATACACAGCATACTCAGGCAAACCGGGGGAATCGTAAGACTGCTACACAGCCATCCCCCAGAAGGGACAGTGCAAACAGTCCCTCGATCGACCTGATGACAAACCGTCGCGGGCCAGCCTTCTGTGAGATCAGGTGGTAAAACCTGATGCAGCTGTTGGGGGAGAAGTAGGCAATCGGATCCTAGCTGGCTTACAACTGTGTCCTCCCTCACGGTGTCGAAGCAGAAATAATGTTTGCAAAATAGGTTCTGTAGGACTAGTTACTATTAGTCCGAGACGATGCGCGTAATCAAGCACGGATAACAGAAGGCAATTGAAGTCGGACACAGCGGACTATATACCATAGGCTACAACAAGACGTGGACGGATGAAGCAAGAGAAGAGCAAACCTCAGCGCTACAACCGGACCGGAATTTTAACCAACCAGTTATTTCCATTATCTGGTGAGCGTGGTTTGGTCCGCTAAGCTAAAAGTTGGCTGTCTTGATGGTTAAGGCTAAAACGTGTATGCTGAATAGACGCATGGTAAGTAAGTATATGTGGTAACATAAATGTTTGGGTGCTTTAACACTGCTGCTGTTGTTGAGGTGGATAACAATGGGTTGTTATTCGCTGTGACGTGACATTGGAAGCCGCCATGTGTAACGCAATAGAAACGAGACTGAGTTCCCCACATTACACGAAAGCACTTGCTTGGGCCTTGTTGGTTTGGTACGCCAGCGTACTTTACTTGATGCAGCACCAGTATTAAGCAAGACCTGGGAAATGTGTTTAAAAGTGATAATAATCATTGAGAAGTGCTGAAAGATGGATGATTTCAGTTTCATGAAAGCACGGTTATAGTGGGCTAAAGTAGCAGAACGATGCTTCTGACGCACATTACAACCGAGGCAGTGGTGGACGATTCCGCATCTTTTGAGCGCATTTTTCGCTCTTTTTATCATAACCCCCACGATTCAGAGGACGATGTGGAGAAATTTCAAGTTGTAAAGGCCTCTTTGTTCTACGAACGTACGGTTGTTTCACGAGAATACCATGAGAGGAAGACGGGTGAGAAATTACCGGAAGACCATCCGCACCGCTATGTGCACTTCCGGTGTGTTGACAGCACGCGTACAATGGTTAGTGGCAAGAGGTAAGTAATGTTAGGTAAGCTACTGATATATATTGCATGAAGATACAGGGATTTTGTTTATTTGGCTAAATTTTACTTTCATTTTGAAGCGTATCTGTTATGAGCCTGCAGAATGTAACTTGGCGCATAGGCACGATTTCCAAGTGCGTAATCCGTGGATGTATGTCTTCAATAGGCGTTTGACGGAGGCTCAGGAAGTGGAAGTTGTAAGCCTTATGTGCAGTTTTAAGACTAATCGAGAGATGCGCGCGTACCTTTCCCGACAGTACGGTCTGTTGATGAACCGTAATGACTTGTTGTCAATAATGAAGAGACATCTGAAAACAAAATCGGACGAGGCTCGAGAAGTGCCGGAGTTATTGAAGAAGAATGAGAAGAACCGGGTTCTCATCGACGGTGATCACATTCGGGAGCTGCATTTTGTGCCCGCCAACATATTGCTGATATTTGAAAGATATGGAGCGGTCATTTTGTCTGAAGCAACGTACCAGTTAAATTACGGCGGCTACGTGTTACTTCACTGTAGGTTGACGGACGTACAGGGGGTTGCGTTGTCGTTTTCCCGCCTAGTTGTTCAATGCGAAGTACGTTAGCTACCGGGAGGCAATACAAGAGCTGCGTGTTATGGTACCAAGCACTGCGTCCGTACAGACCTTGGTAATGGATAACTGCTGCGCACAAGTGGGTGCCTTTGGATCTGTGTATCCAGAAGCGGCCGTGGTGTTTTGCCGTTTCCACATACTGCGCGACAAGAGTCGGCGTTGTACTCAGCTATTTGGAACCACTGCAATTGTGAGAAATCGGCTACATCAGTGGCTGCAGAGTTTGGCGCACACGCGGGACACGAAGCAGTTCGAAAGGATCTTGCATGCCATCGAATCGCTAAATCGTGAATATTACCAGGTCTTGCGGAGAACATGGCTGCTGCGTACGTCACCTTGAGTGGCTCATCGACAGCGGTGCATTTGTATGTTCGGCTGTGGTACGACTAACTGCGTTGAGAACGAAACCAAGCTGTTGAAGAGACAACTCAGCAAGAAGTCTTCGCTGAAGCATTTTTTCACCGTGATTGTGGAACGCGTTAGTGCGTGCACGTAGCAACGGACGCTGATGCTTGGTAAGCATAGTATGACACCGTATGTTGCCCTACGAATGCTTCCTCCGCTGCGCCTCTTCTTGTTCGCCTATGGCTATAGGCACGAGTTCGTGTTCTGAGACATTGGCGGAACGTGCACATATGCGACGCGTCACAGCATGGTATTAAGTGGGTGGTGCGTTGCTTGAGAGGTTCGCTGACAAGGCGATACAAGGTAGAGGGTTACACATGCACATGCGAATTTAATCTCTAGTGATGATTCCCCTGTGCTCACGTCTGCTACTTCTAGACGATGAGGGGAAAGAGTTTGAACGTTGCAATTGCAAGTTGCCGTTGGACAGTGCCCACCAAGTGCAATGCAGAGCTTCCAAATGAAGCCTCAGGTGTTTTGGAGGTGTATTCGCAGGAGGAGCCCGTGGAAGTGCCGTCTACGCCGGTGAACCGGGCGAAGGAGTTATGCAAAGCGGAGGAGCTAGCGGCTGAGTTGAGTACTCAGTTGTGCAGTACGGGATCGACAGCCTACAAATGTGTTATGTGACCCCTGCAAATGCTTGTCGACGTGTTGTCCAGTAAGGTTAAGGTAACACTGTATTGCGCAACGCAGTACTGCAAGGAGCCCTTGGCCCTTGATTGCAATGAGAATGTGCAACGCTTGAAAGGTAATTGCCAGCTGGTCTTGCTCAACCGGCCGAGGACCAGCAATGATAAGGAAGACGGCTGCGGAGGCATTGTTTCAAAGTAGATCGTGGAATTCAAGGTTTTAGGTGCAGAGGTGCAGCTCAGTGAGTCGTCGAATGCGCCTGAAAAATGACCTGTTGGATCAGCTAAGCAAAAGGCGCCGTTGGTTCCACGAGTGACGGAAGTGCCCCTTGCTTCTAGGTCTGGGTAACCTGACAGTATTCTGCCCACGCAATACAATGAATTTCACTTCAGACAAATTTCCGATGCTCTGGCCACCGCAGAGGATAATCAACGGGGCCCTATCTGCTGCATTGGGCAGGGTAGATAGGGGTTTGGATGCTACTGCTCAAGCCTTCCCGTCTTCTTATGCCCCCTTGCGCTTTTTCACCATTATCGTCCCGTTCCAGCTTCACTTTTATCCCCCAGTTTTCAACACCCCAATTCTCGGACATCCCTTACCTTCCTTCAGTAGTCACTTGTCTTTTAGTTTCAACTCACATGCGAACGGGGAGCGTCATTCCTGCCCTGTCAACAGGCCCATTTCCAACCAAGCGGCCCATTCCAGTTCATCGGCTTCCATTTGGAGCCCTCGATTCTTCTTCAGACTGGCATGTCTCAATGTTCGCACATTGCTTCAGATCGGTCAACAGGCAGCACTTGCCCGAACATTGGAGACCCTCTCGATCGATATCTGCTGCTTATCGGAGACCCGCCTGCAAGACTCGAGCTCTGTACTCACTCTGCGATCCCTTCAGGTGACACTACCAGCACTTTCTCATGGCGCCTATCCGGTGACGATGCAGCTTCGAGCACCGGCCAAGCCGGTGTTGGTATTGCCCTGAGTCCCCGGGGCTGAAGCTGCTCTGGTTGATTGGGTTCCAATCAGTAGCCGGATGTGCGCGGTCCGATTGGCTGGCTCGTACAAAACTTCGAAGTCGCGTGGGACTAACAGGTGTCTATTCGTTATCACTACCTATGCACCGACAAACTGTAGCGATGACTCGGTAAAAGATGACTTCTATCGTCAACTGAACGAGCTCCTTCGCCACAGAAGAAGCTCGGACACTGTTGTGCTGGCTGGGGATCTAAGCGGTCTAGTTGGAAAATTATCCACTGATGAGATGCACCTGGGCGGCCAACATGGTGTAGGCTCCCGTAATGCTAACGGTGAGCGGTTACTTCATTTGTGTGAGGATGGTCGCTTACTTCTCGCGAGCAGTAATTTCCGACACATCACCCGCCGGAGGGTGACTTGGAGCCCACCAGCCTTGGACGCAAATCGATTACCTTGCGATAAGTTACCGATGGAGACGCTGCGTCCAGAACTGTCACTCGATTTGCAGCCCAGGTGTGGACACCGACCATGCACTTGTATGTGATGACCTGCGGATGCGTTTTGGCGGACGCCAACGACAACACTGTGAGCGTCAGTTGGAGCACCGTCACATATATTGGCGGCCGACGGTTGTCGTGTTCCTCGATATCAAAGGTGCATTCGATTCGGTGAATAGACATGCACTTTGGGACTGTCTCCTCAGGAAAGGTGTACCTGAGCAATATATGAATATTATCCGAGCATTATATGCTCGTAGCTCGGGCAGAGTGAGGGCTTACGGCAAGTTGTCGTCGACCTTTAATATCTCTAGCGGCGTGAGACAAGGATGCCCGCTGTCACCTTTCCTCTTCAACTTCGCTGTTGACGAAGTCATGGAAATCGCGTTCACAAGACACGACTTATAAGGTGTGGATCTGCTCCCAGGAGAACGACTTCTTGACTTAGAGTATGCTGACGATATTGCCCTAATTTGTGACAGCTCACAAACGTGTCAAGCGGCACTGGACAGATTAGCACTGGCTGTCCGTCACCTCGGGCTTTGCTTCGCACCCTCGAAATGCAAAGCGTTACTCCAAGATTGGTCAGGACCGCCTCCTACGCTGACCGTTGGTGGTGATCAGCTAGAAGTCGTTCAAAAATTCAACAACCTGGGAAATTGTATCAGCATCCGTGGGATTGAGGATGAGATCACGAACCGTATAGCAAACGCTCGGGGCGCTTTTGCTAGCCTTCGCCACTTATGGCGCCGGCGCGACATCACTTTTGCCCTGAAGGGTAGAGTGTACAATGCAGCGGTACCTTCGACCCTACTGTACGGTTGTGAAACCTGGCCGCTTTAAGCAGCGGAACTGAAGAGGCTAGTTACGTTCCAGCACTGGTGCCTTCGTAATTTAGCTCACATCTGGTGGGAACACCGCGTGAGCAACGAGCGTGTTCGACGCCTTGTTTACGGCACAGGAAAAGGAAATGAACCGCTCAGCACCGTCATTTCAAGCATCAGACTCCGATGGCGCGGCCACGTGTTACGCATGCCAGCCCACCCACTCCCGCGACATGCGTTGTTTGCGCGCTGGGGGTGTGGATGGAAGAAGAGGAGGGGTGGCCAAGCGATGACTTGGTCCAGAGGAATGAAGGCCCTCACTTCTGAGCTGGCCTCGGTTGGAGCGTCTCGGCTCCCTGTTTGGGTCCGAAAGACGATGAACACGTTTAGTTGGACCCACTTGCTGCTATGGCTAGGAGCCGACCTCAGTGGCGTTCGTGCTCTGAGGTTCTTTGTCCCTCCCCACCCCTCTTAGCCTCCCCCTCCACCTACGATCTCATTTCTTAGCGTAAAACATAATAATTTTTCTTGTTGCCTAGTAGCCGGCTGGTAGCTTACCAGAACGATGACCATCCCTTACCGGTAGCTCAGCCGGCTTGCACCAGTTGCTTTTTTTCTCTCCTTTTTTGTGTATTGAGCCACAGTAGCTGAGGTGTTCCCCATCTCTAGCTAACGCGTATAATAATGATGATGATTGCTTCTACCTTGCCAGCCGGGGTGATAATCATACACCTGCACAGCACCACCTCGCCGCCGTACAGAATGCGGAGCAAAAGGCGAAAGCTGGTGATTAAGGTTTTGGAAGCGCTTTACGAAGTCGTGTGCTCCCTGTGCATCAAATAGGAATATGACCTTGGCAAGAGTGCGCCCGTGGAGTGGGTGGTGTGTGATGTTTGCGACAGTTGGTATCATTCCATCGCAATGAGGCTGGACCTTACCGTGGTGCGATGGTTTGCGTGCCTCAGAGATCCATTGAGCTATGCTGGGTGGTGCTTTTTTATCACCTTTAGAGCCACTCATGCCAGATTGGTCAATGGTTAGAGGCCAGACAAACTCAGCCTCCTGGTCCTCCAGGTTGGGGGTTGGAACGGGGGTGGCTCCTCATTTCATAAAACGGGCTCTGTAGTCCAGTGCCAAAACCCGCTGCCTTGCGGTAAGGTTGTTGAACCAAAGGCTTTGGTTGAGAACCCTAATCGTTCTCCTGTCTAGGCCTAGGAAACCTGACAGTATTCTGCCCACGCAATACAATGAACCTTTCCTAAAACAATTTCTTGATGCTCTGTCCGTCGCAGAGGATAATAAACGACGCCCTATCTGCTGCATCGAGCAGGGTGGATAG